CCCGGCCCCACACTCCCACCCTGGGCTGCAGGTGCCGACTGGCCCCGGACATTTCTCCGTGCTGCTGGACGTGAAGCACTTCTCGCCAGAAGAGATCGCCGTCAAGGTGGTGGGCGAACACGTGGAGGTGCATGCACGCCACGAGGAGCGCCCGGTGAGCTTGTTGACGTGGACGGGAGGGGCGGAGCAGCGAGGGGGCTCCCTGGGGGAAGGGGCCGCCCGGCCCCCACTGCTCACAATCCTCGCTCCCCCTACAGGATGAACATGGCTACATTGCACGAGAGTTCCATCGCCGTTACCGCCTGCCCCCGGGTGTGGACCCCACAGCCGTGACATCGGCACTGTCCCCTGAGGGTGTTCTGTCCATCCAGGCCGCCCCTGCGCCCGCCCAGTCCCTGCCGCCACCACAAGCTGCAGCCAAGTAGGAGCCCCGGAGGCCCCCTGTCTTAAAGCCGACCTGACTCCACCCAGCCAGATGCCCAAAGCTTGCCAAGATCACGCACCTCCCCATCCTGGATCCTGCCCCAGCCCCTCCATCCTCCTCCACCCACGTGCACTTTTCAGCCACCCATCCTCACTGACACCACTTTCTTGGCAGATATTTTTCCCCTTGAGACTCCTTCCTCTACTCCCTTCAGATAGGAAAAGACTCCTAAATCCTGATTTTGTATGTTCACCCTGCCTCCACAGTTGTCAGGCAACCCCACCCCTGGACTCTGCAAACCTCCCACTGCAGACCAACTAGATCTGGTCCCCAAAACTCTGGATCCAGGCCAGCCAGAACATTCACCTACAAACTGCAGACATTCCCCAGCCCTCACCTCCAGTTTTAAGCAAAACTACCCCTTTCTTCTGACCCTCAGCCACCAGCCTGACACCTAGATCATCTACCTTCCACATTATCATCCACCATCAACCAGGAAGGTACTCTTTATTCCCCAAGGCCTTTGTCCCTCCTTGAACCCCTTCCTGTCCCTGTCCCACCATTCTCCACCCCAGTCTATGCCTTAATAAAAGCTGGAGCTTTGCCAGCTGCCTGTGTCTGAAACATAGTCGGGCTGGATGGAGCAAGCAGTGGTCAAAGTAGAGGGGATTATTTTATTGGGGTTCTGAAGCGGAGGCAAATCACTGTCGCTCATACATCTCCCGGAGGATCTTCATGCTTTCTGAGTAACGGAGCTGGTTCCGCTGAGATGCTTCCTTCCACCTGGGGTGGGAGGCGAAGGGAGGGGTCATTTGATGCCGCAGCGACCACGGGGTGGGGTTGGAGGGCAGCTGGCAGGCTGGGGCCAGTTTACCTCTGGCGAATGCGTTTCCAGCGCTGCATGTTGCGGAAAATGAGCGTGGAGGGTGAAAGTTCTGATTCCGAGGGCTGTGTGGACAAAGGGCCAGGGTGAGTGGCCATGTCCTATTCCCATCATGTGACCTCCCTCAACCCCAGGCCAACCCAGTGTACCCACTTCACCAACCTCATCTTCTGGGGTGCCCTGGGTCTCAGGCTGCAGGGGGGATGGGATGCGGGATCTGCAGGCATCTCCAGGGGCCACGGGTGGAGGTAGTTTGTATACATCCCGACTCTCGCTACTGGTAACCTCTGACCCCTGGGGAAACAAGGGCCCCACACCCCACCCAGGAGAGTCAGAGCAGAGAGCTGAGAATGCGCAGTCTTTCCTGCCTTTCCTGGGAACAAGAGCCCAGCAGATCTGAGGAGCCATGTTTAAAGGGCAGAGACCCTTTACAACCTGTGGGTCAGCTCTGCCTGCCCTATGCACCTCCCATCTGTCCTTGCAAACCCAGGGATTCATGTCTGCCTGTCTCAGGGACCTTCTCCAGGTATCACTTCTGCATCACTGGGGTCTTTTCCTACTCTCTCCAAACCAGGTGGCCCTATCTGCCTGCCCTGGCAAACTCCTTTCCACTCTTGTCATTTTAAGGGGTCAGATATGTCCTGGCAACCTCTGGCCACCTCTAGCCAGGAGTCATGTCTATCTGGGGAAAATTCACTCCCTGGGCCAGATCCTCACATCTGTCTGCCAGAAGGATTCCTGCCTAGCCTAGCTCTTGGGGAAATCTACTGCTTGGCAACCCCTAATTTGGAAGTTGTGTCTGTCTGCCCAGTAGTATTCAGCCTCCTCCTATCAGACCAGGCCTGTCTATCTAGGACTTAACTCTCTAGGGCTTCACATCTGTGTACCACATCTGACTCAGTAGTCACATCTGAGAGACTTGTACCCATCCACCTGGCTAGAGGTGACCCCTTGTACCTGTCCACCTACACCACCTTTCCTGTCTGCTGGACCGGGGCCCAGCATCGGGCCCACCTCCTCATCTTCAGGTAGTGGAGGTAGGGGCGAAGTGGGTGAGTGTTCACGCTCCCGGGCTGAGGGGCTGTTGCGCATCCAGGCACGGCAGATTGGGTAGAGAGGTGTGTTCTCACTGAACTGGGCCAAATCCACACTCCGGTCAAACAGCTTGATCACATACGTGTCTGGGGACCGTGGGGGGTGGAAGGTGGGTAAACTTCTTTACACAGCCCTCTGGCCCCCTGCCTGCCCTCTCAGGCCAGCACCCACTCACTGGATCGCTGTGGCCCTCCCTCGGCCAGCCCATCATCCATCTCCCTCCTCTTCTTACGCCGCTGGTGGGGGAAGCGGGCAGATGGCCTGCAGAGGGTGGGGAAGGAATTGTCAGGATCTGGGTAGGGACTGGGAAACCCTTGTCACCTGGCTGCTCCCATCCCACCCCCCATCTTACCGTTTTCCAGTGGCTGCGATGGAGCAGTCCCTATGGGGAGAGATAAGGTGTCAGCAGGATGAACTCACATTGAATGCTGCACAGAACCTCTGTGGGAACCCTGGGATGCTGGGATCAAGCCTGAGATGCCCCATAAATCCCACCAACCCTTTGAACCTTGTGTCCCACCCATGCCCTTAGGGATTACGTGCCAAACATGAGAGAATCAAAGTCTCCTTCTGCCATGGGTCTTTGTATACATAGAGGGCTCAGGGCTGTGCTGAGGGAAAGAGTTATCTACCACAAACCTTCAGTTCCAGATCCTATCCAAAAAAGCTTACTTATTGTGGGCGTCTGAGGGTGTCTTCCCAGCTTCCTCATCTAGACGCTCTCTGGTAGCAGAAGAGAACCATTTACTCTGGGCTCCAATGGCTCAGAGTGGCAGAGGCACTCAGTGACCTCCCCAGGGGATACCTTTCTCCCCAAGCCAGCTTTGGGAGCCCCACCCACATCCACCCAGAGCCCGAGGGTTCAACTTCAACCTGCCAGGTTCCCTCCCCCATTCCTGGAGCCCCTTGGTGGTTTGGGTTCCAACCTGTCCATGTGGCTCTTCTCCAGCAGACACTGCAGAACAGCATCCAGTTGGTTCCGGGCCTTGGCCATCTCCAACTCTAGGGGAGAGGGTACAGTGCAGTCAGTACTGAGGCCCCCAGGTGGCAGGCTAGAGAAGTGCATGTAACTGACACCGTGGAATCCTTTGGCCAGGTATGCCAAGAGCTAGCTGCAGAGACTACAGAACTACAGTGGGTAACAAGAGCTTGGGACTTCAAGCTATGCCATAGGCTCACGGCGGGAACCAAAGTAAGACTCCTCACCTGGCTGAGATGTTTCCTCATTTTGAAACAGCTCTTTGATGATGTCTATTTGCTAGGATTATTGCAAGATTTAAATAAGCCTGATACTGTATGTCTCTTAGTAAGGTTGAATAATGAAACTAATGTACAAAGAGCTTATAACGGATGAGGTACATCGCAGAAACTCACTCTCCATATTAACCTTTTGTATGTTACTATTATGTGTCCCTCAAAGAGCTGAACAGAAAATTTCAAAAGGCAGCTCGGGACAATGAAGCAAGATACTATAATGAAATGTGCAGAGAGCTGGAGTCAGAAAATCAAAAGGGCCAAACTCGCTCAGTGTTTCTAAAGCTGAAAGAGTTGAAAAATACTTTGGGTAGGATGTTAAATAACCCAGAAGTATCAAAAGAAGATGGAAGGAGTACACAGAATCAATGTATCAGAAGGAATTGGCTGATATAGAAGAATTTCATGAAATAACATATAAGCAAAAGCCTGTGGTGATGAAGGAGAAAGTTCAAGTTGCTCTAAAGGAATTGGCAAAAAACAAGGCTCCAGGAGTTGACGGCACACCAATTGACATATTTCAACAAACAGACGCTGCCCTGGATGTGCTCACTACGTTGTGCCAAGAAATCTGGAGGACAGCCAGTTGGCCAACTGACTGGAAAAGATCAATATTTGTTCCCATTCCAAAGAAAGGTTACCCAACAGAGTGTGGAAATTATCAAACAGCATCATTAATATCATACGCAAGCAAGATTCTGCTGAAAATTATCCAAAAACGATTGGAGCAATGTCAAAAGAGAACTGCCAGATGTGCAGGCTGGATTTAGAAGAGATCATGGTTGTTGTTTATTGTTGTTATGTGCCATCGAGTCGCTTGCGACTCATAGCGACCCTATGTACAAGAGCTCTAAATGCCGTTCTATGCTATGCCATCTCAAACGCACTCATTCCCACCACTCCAGTCACAGAATCGATCCATCTCATCGAAGGTCTTCATCTCCTTCACCGTCCCTCCACTCTCCTAAACATGATGTCCCTCTCCAAGGACCAGTCCCTCCTTGCATCATGCCCACAGTATGTCGGAAGAAGCTTCAGAATCCTTGACTCCAAGGAGCATTCTGGCTTCACCTTCTTCAGGACAATGGTACTAGGGATATTATAGCTAATGTAAGATGGATCTTGGCAGAAAGCAGAGAATACCAGAAGAATGTCTTTCTGTGCTTCATTGGCTATGCAAAGGCTTTTGACTGTGTGGATCACAACAAGCTATGGCTGACTCTGAGAAGAATGGGAATCCCGGAGCATTTGACTGTACTTATGCGAAACCTATACTTGGACCAAGAGGCAGTGGTCAGAACAGAGCAAGGAGACACTACATGGTTCAAAATCAAGAAGGGGGTTCATCAGGGATTTATTTTGTCTCCATACCTTTTCAATCTGTATGCAGAACAGATCATCTGAGACTCTGGGCTATACAAGGAGGAATGTGACATCAGGATTGGTGGAACAGTCATCAACAACCTGCGTTATGCAGATGACACAACCCTGCTTGCTGAAACCAAGGAGGACCTGAAACGCTTGCTGTGGAAGGTCAGGGACTGCAGCCTTCAATACGGATTGAAGCTCAACATCAAGAAAACAAAGATTCTCACCACTGGGCCAACTGGCAGCATCAGTATGGATGGTGAAGAGATTGAGATAGTTAGCAGTTTTAGTTTATTTGGGTAACAGCAACCAAGAAATCAAGAGACGAATTACATTGAGAAAGTCAGCTGTGAGGGACCTCTCAAGAGTACTGAAGAGTAACAACGTCAGGCTGGAAACTAAGGTGTACCTGATCTGGGCTATAGTCTTTGCAGTTACATGCTATGCATTGGAGGGTTGGACAGTGACAAGGGATGATAGAAAGAGAATTGATGCCTTTGAGCTGTGGTGCTGGAGAAGAGTGTTGAATATACCATGGACTGCTAGGAGAACAAACAGGTTTGTCCTGGAGAGGGTGGAGCCGGAATGCTCCTTGGAGTCAAGGATTCTGAAGCTTCGTCTGACATACTTTGGGCATGTTGCAAGGAGGGACCGGTCCTTGGAGGGGGACATCATGTTTGGGAGAGTGGAGGGACAGTGCAGGAGAGGAAGACCCTTGATGAGATGGATCGATTCAGTGATTGGGGTGGTGGGAATGAGTGTGTTTGAGACGGCAAGGTTGGCACAGGATAGAATGGCATTTAGGGCTCTTGTACAAGGGACTCGATGGCACATAACAACAACAACAATATACTTTAAAAATGTTTTTGTTGTTATGTGCTGTCAAGTCGGAGCTGACTTAAGAGCTGACCCTCCAGGGGGTTTTGAGAGGCTGTAAACTGCATGGGAGAAGAGTGCCAATGTTTCTCTCATCGAGCAGCTGGTGGGTTCGAACAGCCTGCATTCTTACCACTAGGCCACCTGAGCTCAATATGAACTTAAGAGAAAAATGTCTACCTTTTTGAGGCTTTCTTACTTGAACTAGAAACCTGCTGCCAGAGACTTGTAGCCTTTGGGTTAGCAGTGCAACTCCCTATGGACTACACCAAGTTCTGAACTTAGACACACAAGCACGTGCAGTAGGTGAGGAATGCTGTAAACAGCCTTTAACTGACTTCGACCTAGCATGCTGTGACAGAAGATATACCACAGATATACGCTGCGTAAACTGTCCTTGAAAGGAAGCTTAAACCGCTTCCCTTAGGGGAGCTCTGGTGGCCTAGTGGCAAGAAGCTGCACTGCAAACCCAGAGATACGCGGTTCGAATCCACCAGATGCTCTGCCGGAGGAGGGGCCATCTCCTCCTGTACCAGTCAGATCAGATTTGATGGTACACACACACACAAACAAAAAAAATTTTTAAAAAAACCACAAAAAAAAAACCAAAAAACAACACACCACCTTCCTTGAAAGGGGAAAAAACAACATTCAGCTAATTTCTGACCATGGAGTAAATAATTTTAAAAGCTGGATTGTAAGAAGAAGAGAAGAATAATTTGGCATCAGGATTGGAAGAGTCAATAACCTGCGTTATGCATATGATACAACCTTGCTTTTTAAAAGAGAGCAGAACATCAAACACTCACTGCAAAAGATCAAAGCCTTGGCCCATCAACAAATGAATGGATAGAGAAGCTGTGGTATATCCACAATAGAAGACTATGCCACACTGAAAAACAAGGAACTCATGCAATATATTTTTTTAAATTTTATTATTATTTTTTGTGCGTGTACCATCAAATTGGATCTGACTGGTACAGGAGGAGATTGCCCCTCCTTCAGCAGAGCATCTGGTGGATTTGAACCGTGCGCCTCTTGGATTGCAGTGCACCTTCTTGCCGCTAGGCCACCAGAGCTCCTGGAACTCATGCAATATTATTCAAAATGGGTGACCCTGGAGGACATTATGCTGAGTGAAATATCTCAGTCACAACGGGACAAATACTGCATGGTGCCACTGTTGTAGAATGGGTCTGACATCAGGGTTGGAGTATGACAGAAAAAACTGGATAAATTATGTATATTGTATTGAAACAGATGAGGGAAAGAATAGATTAGAGGTGATATATGAGTGAGTATTATGGTTAGCACAGGAATCCAGAATTAAGGTTGCATAGAGAAGTGTACTCGGGCTTGGGGGTTAGGGGGAAGGGATGGGGGAACTGTATACTCATGAAGGAATTTTTTTTTCCCTTTTTCTTTTCAGAGAGGGGAGCGAACTGGTGGGGAGGGGTGGGCAGGGAGAAAAGTGCAGCAATGAATGAATGAATGGAAATCCATAACCTCTGTAAATGTCTATTAAAATTAATTAAAAAAGGAAGAAAAAAAGATCAAAGCCTTTAATATGGACTACATCTCAACATCAACAAAAATCCTTACTGGGCCAACAGTCAGTACCATGATAGATGGAGAAAATACTGAAGTAGTTAACAAGTTTATCTTACTGGATCCACAGTTAAAAACACCCCTGGTACCAGGATTCAAGAAATCAAGACATGTTACATCAGAAAAGAAATCTGCTGTCAAGGACCCCTCCTAAGTGCTAAGGAACAGTAATGTTAGTTTGAAGACTAAAGTGCACCTGATCCAAGTCAAGGTCTTTTTTTTTCTTTTTCCCTATCTGCTTGCCTTGCAGGGATTTTTTTTTAATTAATTTTAATGAAAGTTTACAGGGACTTAGGATTTCCATTCATTCACTGTTGCACTTTTCTCCCTGTCCACTCTCTCCCCCCATTCACTCTTCTCTTTGAAAACTAAAAGAAAAATTATTTCATTGTTATACAATCCCTCCCCCTAAGTCCACTCCACTGTGCAGCCTTCGTGCTGGACTCCTGTAATGACAACAATACGCAATCATATATCTCTTTTAAACAGTTCTCTCTCTCATTTGTTTCAATGCAGTATACATTATTTATCTCCTCCTTCTCAGTCTTCCATCAACCCTGATGTCAGTCTCGTTTTACAAGAGTGGCCCTATGTAGTATTTGTCCTTTTGTGTCTGAGATATTTCACTCAGCATAATGTCCTCCAGGGTCACCCATTTTGAATAATATTGCATGAGTTCCTTGTTTTTCAATGCAGCGTAGTATTCCATTGTGTGAATATACCACAGTTTCTCTATCCATTTGTTTGTTGATGGGCACATAGGTTGTTTCCAACTCTTTACTATTGTGAACAAAGCCGTGATAAACATGGGTGTGCATATATCTGTTTGGGTGGCAGTTATGCTTTTTTTAGGGTAAATAGTCAAGGTCTTTTACTCTGCATCTGAAATTGG